AAGGGAAATTATTATTGTAATTTTTAAAGAACAATTATTATTGCAAATTGTGTCCTGATTTATTTTTCTTTATCGTTTCCAGTTACATGTGAAATTAATGTGATATCTAGGTTGAGTTTTTTTTTTTTTTCATGCTTATTTTTGGCCAAGCACTCTTGATTATATTAATATAATATATCATTTATTACATGAGATCACAGTTAAGGATTAAGTTAAGGCATATGTAAAAGGTCAAGTCTTCCGCACTTATTAATTTTTTGTTGTCAACATTTCTTATGAATTATCTAAGCCAATTTTTATCTTAATGTTCTTTTTAAATGACTCTAGTGATCGAGCAATTCAACGAGTTCTTAAGCAATGATGAATGCTTTTGCTTTATTTTTAAATATTTAGTTTAGTTTCTTCATTTTATAAAACTCACAATTTGATCTGATCATTAAATATTTATCAGTTGATAATTTAAATTATAATATTTATTGTGACCTAACATTATATACAATAATTAATATTTAATAATATTTAAGTTAAATTAAATTTTTAGTTCTTATTTTTATATTATTTTATCATTTTTATGAAATAAAAATAAGAATTAAAAATAAAATTTTAGTTCAATTATTATTAAATATTAATTATTATATCATCTAATTCATGTTAAATTATTATTAATTTTACAATTTTAAATTTTAATAGTTAAAGGATGAATATTTAATGAGAAATTCAAAATAAAAAATCCTATAATATTGAAGACTGAAATTATAAATTTAAAAATAGAGAGATTAAAATTATGAATTAAATATTATTGAGATTCATATTTTTTTAAGCGTAATTTTTAATTAAGGGCTTTGTGTATGCGTTAAATCTTAGGGCCAGCTATTCCAGTCTCGCCTCTAATCTAGCGAGGAGATTAGTCACTGTTATCGCCAGTAGATACTCCAAGGACGAAAAAAAAAAAACAAAAACAAATATTTAAAATCCCTAATCAATTGGATAGCTACAATAAATACCCATTTTTTATTCAACTTTTTTTTATATAGTTTAAAAGAAGTACAAAATGACTTTTAAGAAATTCAGTTATATGCATGAAATTAAGTGAAAATGAAATTGGATTTGATTAAAATGAGATAAATATGTTCAATAAGAAAAGAAAAAGATATTAAACCTTTTTTCTTCATATATGTTTCATATGTGTTGTGATATGATCTTTACGTTTTTTGAAACAATATTTTTAGATGTTTAATAATTTTAAATTGATGAAAACCACAAGTGCACTAGGAACTTTACATGGGTCAATAACCCCCCGGCTCTAGGATTGCCGAAGCCGGTAAGCCTAAGCACTACCCCAAGTAATTGGATTAAGGCACTCCAGGCCACGTAGGTACCCTTCGGCTATAGGTCAGACCAAATACCCATCCAGCCACAGTAGGAACCGAAAGGGGGCCACCAGATGCGACTAATGACATCCATACTACAGTAAATACCTCTCGGCCACAGGCTAGGCCCAACACCATTCAGCCGCAATGAGAGCCGAAGGGGTCACTAACCTGTGGACCCGCCTTTAACAACTTCTACAAAAAAAAATAATTAACATAATTAGCATTAACCTAAAATCAAGGCTTAAAAGTATAATTATGGAATGAAAAGTTTATTAGGCCCAAATACGTTATTATAAATGCAACTCTGATGGGACATTAGGATAGGTATAATCATTTTTGTACTGGGACTACATACCACCTGGTCAAAGTCAACACTAAATACACCCTTTCGGTTTTGGAAAAGACTGAGATGTACCCAAAACGCAAAACATACGCAAGTACCCCCCCTTAGGCCGAGTACCCTCTTAGGTCGAGTACACCATTAGGCCGAGTACCCCCTCAGGCCTAGTACCCCCTTAGGCCGAGCACCCCTTTAGGCCGAGTACACCATTAGGCCGAGTATCTCCTCAGGCCGAGTACCCATCAGGCTAATGAATGGGCCGAGTATCCCTTCATACCGAGTATCCATCAAGCCAATTAGGTCGAGTACACCATTAAGGCCGAGTACCCATCAGGCCAATGAATAGGCCAAGTATCCCTCTCAGGCCGAGTACCCCCTTAGGCCGAGTACACCATTAGGCCGAGTACCCCCTCAGGCCAAGTACCCATCAGGCCAATGAATGGGCCGAGTACCCCCTCAGGCCGAGTACCAATCAGGCCAATGAATAGGCCGAGTACTCCCCTTAGGCCGAGTACCCCCTTAGGCCGAGCACCCCTTTAGGCTGAGTACCCCCTCGGGCCGAGTACCCATCAGGCCAATGAATAGGCCGAGTACCCCTCAGGCCAAGTACCCATTAGGCCAATGAATAGGCCAGACACCCCTTCGACCAAGGGAAAGACCGAATACCCCTTCAACCAATAAACAGGCCAAACACCCCGTCAGTCAATGAACATGCTGAATTCCCCTTCAGCCAATGAACAGGCCGAACACTCCTTCGACCAATGAACATGCCGAATACCCCCTCGGCCGATGAACATACCGAATGGGTATTCAACTGAAACGAATTTCCATGAGAAAAAGGAAAGCAGGTATTAATTACATTAAACACACCCACGTCAACTATAATCAGTGTGCAAAACCTTGTGCACTAGCCCAATAATCCAGAAAGCCCACCAGGCCCAAGAACATCACTATAAATATGGTATTGATGGGACTGATGGGACATGTATGATTATTTAATACAATAGCCTTTATTGCTCTATACTGAATAGTGCCTTTGTAAGTACCTTCCCCACCATTCGGAGACAGGACTCAACCTGCATTTGAAACTTAGGAGACTAATCAAGAAGGAGGAGAGAAGAAGTGTTCTCAGTAGGAACAATTTTAATACTATGTTAGTATTGTTCTGAACCGAAGCGTCAGAGTGCCTGAACTAGTACCTTTTCCATTGAAGCAAGACAAAAATTCGGGTCATCACTATCTTGGAGTTTGGGAAACTGATCGCCAAGGAGAAGATTAGTAGGAAAGTGTTTTTTACGGGAACAAGTTTTCTTAACAAAAATAATTATAAACGTTATTTTGCTGTAGTTAACCGTTCTATCAATAGTTTCTTGGGGGAAATGGATTCCCTGAGTCCCTAACTTTAGGGCAGGAACGTCCCCATGCAGTTCCTAATGTTTGAGTCATTAGATTAATTTAAATAATTTTTTTTTATCACTTTGACATGTAACTCATGAACAAGACGATCGAATTCACTTCATGACTTATTAGTGGGTTCGAGAAGTTTTTTTTTATTTTTTATTATTGGTATATTATGTTTTTTTTTTCTTGGTATATTGGGTTCGAGAAGTTTGGTATATTTACGTAATTTATTTAAATAAAAAGTAAAATAAAATAAAAATATGAGAGAAAAAAATTTTAAAATAAAAGAGATAATGAGTTACACATAGTACAATATTTACATTAGAAAGAAAAAGTTCCATTAATCTATTTTTCTTTTACAAGTTAATGGTAATTTTATTTAAAGGAGAGACCCGAAAAAATATACAAATAATAAATAATGATAAAATTTAAAATATTTGAAATAAATATAATATTAAATCAAGCAAAGAGTAAATGTATCTTAAAAAATAAAAAATAATTAAAAAATGGTAATTTGATTCTTTTATTTATTGTTATATATTTGTAAACTATTGTAAAAACAGTGAGGCAACTAAAAATAATTAATATATATATATA